TTATCGATTACTTTTATCGATTTTATCGATTTTCTTGCAAAGTTTGACCTACGGGGCTGGGAGTTTGCACAGGGGGTAATCGAGTATGTTGATTACGAATATAATATTAGTTTTTAGAATCGTCCATTACTTTTATCTATTTTATCGATTTTTTGCAAAGTTTGGGCTATGGGGCTGGGAGTTGGCACAGGGGGGGGGGGTAATCGAGCATGCTGATTACGAGTTCGATATTAGATTGGCGCTATTCGGTATCCGAGCCCCAAAATTTTTTGTCGTAGAGCTTGCTCAAACTTCGTACATAAGGGTTATCTTAAGGGCCGGGCATACTTCAAGCGATTTTAATCGCGACGCGATCTGGCAATATTCCAAGTGTCCATAACTCATTGTAAGCACATCATAAATGTACAGAAGATAGGACATTTCATCAGTTTACGTAAGTTATACACACTATGCATGTGCAGTTCCAGCCTCAGCATGAGTGGATTGTTGAGGCACCGCATCGTTTCTGGTTTGTGCCACGTTGCGGACCCATCGTTTGGCGTGGTGTGGTGAGAAAAGCAACGTAGCGCAAGCGCGAAGCGATACGGTGCCTCACCATCCACGTAATGTTGAAGATGGAATGCATACTGTAGAAAAAACCAATACGCATTAACAACGGCTGTAAATAACATCAACATCACACACAGGTGGCAGTATTCATCAACGAACCCTGCGGGTTAAACTTACCCTGGAGAGTAAATTTAACCCTTATTCATGAAGCAGGCTTAACCTCGACGATTTAATCTACCCTTGAGGGTAAAACTTACCCCGGAAAGCGATTAACCCATATTCATCAACGACACTGAGGGTAAGCTCTACCCTTGAGTGTAAAACTTACCCCAGAAAACGATAAACCCGATTAACGATTAACGATTCATGAACGGTTTTGTCAGGGTAAATTTAACTATAGCATAGAGCAAGGTTAACTCTACCCTTACCCTTCAGCAAACCATAAAGTGATCTCTCGATGCACTTAGCCCTAACGATACTATTTGACAGCAAACACATATTTCTAATTATTATTATCTCAAGTTTGTCAAATTTTTTATTATCTTGATCTTACCTTAGTATCTAATTTAGCTACGATAGTGTGATCATGCATCAAACCATTTAATGAACGAATATATTGCTGGTCTAAAATTATAATGAGAGAGTTCCACACTACGAAAATTTTCCGAGTTGTTGAGATTGATATTCGTCATATCAGTGTCCTTAGTTGGACATGTACTTTATTCAAAACTAAAGCTATCAGTATAACAACTCGGCTAATTCAGTACCGGATAATAACATTGAACGAAAACACGAAAAGAGGCCATAGGAAGTTGAGTAGTAGTAACCATGAATATGTGTTCATTGTCAAAACGGCATTGCTGAGACTGAGTTGTGCATCGAGAGATCACTTTTGATATTTTTAGAAGTGCCAAAGTGAACTTAGTCTTGCTCTATGGTAGGGTCAAATTTACCATAGCAAGCACAAAAGGCCTGACAAATCACGTTCATGAATACGGGTCAATCGCTTTCTGGGGTAAGTTTTACCCTTGAGGGTAGATTCAACCCTTGGGATTAAGCCTACCCTGTGCTTCATGAATAAGGGTTAATTGCTTTTCGGGGTTTCTCAGGGTTCGTTAATGAATACGGCCACAGGGAAATGCGTGCGGTAAGGGACTACATGGAATTCGAAACGCACAAGAATACCCTAATCGGCAACGCGGCAGCGACGCGCAATTTTCTCCGTCGAGCGCGACAGCGAGCACGAACTTGGTTTTTTTAAACGTTTTTTGAAGTATCAGACGCCGATCTTTTTACGCTTGTCTGTTTCGAATTCGTCCCGACTTTCGAGCGCACGATTATCGGAGCATGTATGAAAGACAGAATTGGAACGCTTGGTTTTTTGTGACTTCTTTGCATGCACTATTTGTGCTTAGCTTACTTATCGTGGAATTGTGGAACACTTTATTGTGGAACATCGTGTAGTCAAGTATGTATGTATGACAAGGGTGGAAAGAAAAGTGAAACCGCTTACAATTAGAGGAGTTACACTGATTGTTTATCGACATGTCCTTTTCAGCCTAAATTTATAGACTCAATTGTTAACATTACCAAGAAGCGAAAAGAAAATCTATCGATAGCGATATTGATGAAGTCACGGCTTCTTTGCAAACTTGTTGCCAATTCTGCTCTCACCTGTCTGTAAGAGAAAGCAAAAAAGTTCGAATTGGTTTTGGGGTGTAGCACCAAAAGCTGGAATTCGTAAGAAACCATTGGTGGTCCTACACTACTACAAATATAGTTTGTGCAAAATATGTACTTTGAGGCTTGAAACTACAATAAAGTCTTTATGACGAAGTCAAATCAGCTACCGGGGTGTGAAGTTCCTGAATTGCCGCTCACTATTCGTGAAAAAAGAATCGCGGTGGCTGTGTTTGGACGGCCTACGCCGAAGTTCACCGAAATTTCGCATCAGGTCTATGTTCACAGTGGACTAGTTCTGAAGGTTACCATTCAGCTACTTCGACATGGCATGCCTTTGCATATATCTACATGACTGCTTTAGCTTCGGGTACAGTAGCTAGTGGAAGATACTCATCAAATTTCTTTTCCAATTTTTTGCTTACATAGGCTGCTCACTGTGACGATTACAAATTATTTGATGCTAAAGGACATTGCGAGACGCGGTAGGGGTGGATTTACAAAGAAACAACCGCCATAGATATTTCGCCTTTCATTTTTCAGCATTTCTGTTCTCGATTTGGTGGCTCCTCGAAGTCACTCACCGAGGCTCAACCCGACGTTTTCACCATGTATAATTGTGATTAATTCTCATTCTTATTAAGATCCCAAACACAATTTGTTGAGCAAGCATTTCGCAATTCAGTGTCTTTTTTCAGTCTGCGCGGCCTTTTGAAATCAATAAAGGTAACATTTTGTCGTGACCAAATCCGTTAGTGGGAATTTGAGCCTTAGATTAACGATGCTTCTCCACTGCGTGATATTTCAGAGAAATTTCAGACTGTGGAGAAAGCTTCTTGGAGATTTGTGGACGAAATGCAAAACCATCCATGTGCGCATGGCTGTACCAGAAAATTTTAGACATCAACATTACAAAGCTGTGATTGCTCCACTTTGTGACAATAGTGCTTGTTGCTGATCGAGTTCGGAAAACCTTGTCCAAAGCGAATTCGGAACATAGAAAGATCAGCGTCTGAAACTTCAAAAAACGTAGAAAAAAACCAAGTTCGTGCTCGCTGTCACGCTCGGCGAAGAAAACTGCGCGTCGCTGCCGCATTGCCGATCAGGGTACGCTTGTGCGTTTCAAATTCGTCGACTAAATGTCGCCGAAAATGGGAGGTCCCGCCGGACATGTGCAACAAATACACACTCCAGTATGTACATGCCAGTGCTGAGTATCTGCTGCATTGTCCGTGCGGGACCTCCCGCTTCTGGCGACAATAGTCCTTCACCCATATGCATGAGATACTTCACAGGGAATAAAACGAGAAACGCTCGCCACGACAGCCCGAACGTGCGGCATGTACTTTGCATAGGTATGATCGCGTCCATGCGTTCTTCCCATAGCACCGCTTTGCATGTCTTTCGCGCCTATGCGCTCCTTTGGCGCCTCTTTTTCGAATGATTTTGACCTTGATGCTCCTCTGCCAGAGCGTAGTGGCAGCACATACTCAGATAATCGCCGGGGGCAGGCGGCATGCGAATTTTGAGCAAGCGGGCCCCGAAAAAATAGTTCGCTGATTTCTTACGGCCAGCTTGCAGAAATTCGGGAGAATGTTGACCAATTTTCAGACAAATGCTCGGAGAATCATCGCGGTTTCCCTATAGATTAGTTGCGGCGCACTGGCCGCATTCTCGCGGACTTTCCGCGAGAATATGCAAAATTATTGAGGTCCGCGCGGCCCTTTGTGGAGGACCGCGCAGCCCTCAGGTACTTTCCGCTAGGAGAAAGTGCCTCAAACTTGAGTAATTAAATCATCGATGACACCTCTGCAGCATAGAGTGTCACGTTTGCTCGACGTACGCTCGGAAACTGCTTGAAGAGAGTCCGAGCGCCTGCTGAAAGTTTGGCCAGCGCTCGTTGAAAGAGATTATTTGACGAGCCCCGCAGAAAACTCTGTATTCTGCCCCGCTAGCAGGACATTTGACAGTAAAGGAGGTACCGCCCGCTGAAGGTTTGGCCGCGCCCCAAAATTCTGCTGACCGCCTGCAAGAAGACGCGAGTTTGCGAAGCTTCAGATTCCATTTTGTAGAGCGAGGTTCAACTTAGATTTACAGTTAGCGCGAATCGCCGATCGCTCATTGTTACTGTAGGATTACGGTAGAAACTTCAAACATATGGTGTCACTGTGAAAAAAGCGGCCGTTTTGAAAAATTTTCAAAAAAAAATGTGGAAACTTGTGTAATAGGGTTTTCATGGACGCTGAGTTCAATACTCAACTATTCACCAGATTGCGAAGCTTCCTAAACGGTGTAAACGCACTTTTTAGGAAAATTGAAAAAATGGTTGCTATTGCTTACCTCACATAATTTTTTAATGAACCATTACGAAAAGTTGCGATGGATTGATTATTTAGACCCTACCGTTGTAAACTTGCTCGGTTCGTGTAATGCTCGATCGCCTCGCCCAAGCTCTGCACTACTTTCGTGAGCATGCTCTTTGTTCATTTTCTTACCACAGGCGTGGGAAAGGCCGACAATCGCTAATTAAGCATGGGAAATTGATTAGAGAGCATGCTCGCAAAAGAGTTGCATAGCTCAGGCAAAGCGCTCTTGCGGGAACCGCGCCGCACGAGCCCCATCACCGCCAGTGGTACAGAGAAATTATGACATTCCATCAATGCAATTGACTCAAATCTTGTCTTCAACACAAATTTTAGTCGAATGGGCTTCTTTGCTAATAGACTCTCTCTGATCTTCAGCGTTAGGCAAAGTCAACTTCAGTTGTTTAGGGAATGTTGAAGAGGGGGCGATCCACATCGCCAATGCCATCGCACTGTGCGGGCCTTCGCAGCAACTATTGCAAATCTTCCAGCAAACGTTGCCACCAGAACAATACGCGGCCGTTATTGAGCAATTGCCACATACCCGAGCGGTTAGTTTATCATGTTCATGTGCTGTATTTTACAACTAGCTGGCTTTACCTGGTCCGCCAGCCCCTATCATGCACTGTGTTAAAAATGTGGAGACGGTCATGTGTGGCGATTTCTTTAGAGGTCACCAATCGAACAACCCATATTAAAGCTACGCGAATCTTTCAATACTACCAAGCAATGTGCCCTAGCTCATTAACTCATTAACGGAATAGCACTGGCTAAGTTGACGGTTTTTGTTTGGAAACTTCATTGAAATATCCAAAACACGCCATTAGTTGCATTTTGACGGGTTTTTGACCTCCAAAACTTATGTTTTAAATTTGTTTCAATAAGATCGAGCAACACATAGGACGATCATACATATCTTGTTAGAAATTTGAATTGCTCTTAGGACATCATAAATTACTAAAAAATGCGCTAATTAGTGTCCATCTTATATATAAAGCTGAATGTCTGTTTGTATGTCTGTCTGTCTGTATGTATGTATGTGTGTACGTATGTTCCGAATAGAAAATTCCATTTCTGAACCGATCCGCACCAAACTTGGCACACATACACTTCGGGCCCCGGCGGGTGTCATAGGCTACTTTTCGTCATCGATCGATATCGATTTTATCGATTTTTATCGATTTGCAGAGTTCATCTACGGGCTGGGAGTTTGGCACAGGGGGGTAAGTGAGCATGGGGATTCCGAATACAATATTATTTTTCAGAATTATCGATTACTTTTATCGATTTTATCGATTTTTTTGTAAAGTTTGACCTGCGGGGCTGGGAGTTTGCACAGGGAGGTAGTCGAGCATGCTGATTACGAATACAATATTAGTTTTTGAAATCGTTTATTACTTTTATCGATTTTATCGATTTTTTGTAAAGGTTGACCTGCGGGGCTGGGAGTTTGCACAGGGGGGGTAGACGAGCATGCTGATTACGAATACAATATTAGTTTTTGAAATCGTCCATTACTTTTATCGATTTTTTGCAAAGTTTGAGCGACAGGGCTGGGAGTTGGCACGGGAGGGGTAAGTGGGCATGCTGATTTCGAAAACAACACAGGAAACGGGAAATGAAGTGTAGAAGTGGGCACAGGGAAAGGCTGTACAGGGATAGGGATGGGACCTTTATTACAGTGTTTTCACAGGGCCGGGCGGAGCCGGGTGAGCAAGCTAGTCTGGCAATAAGAATCACGCTTCTTGACATACACCCATAGAAATCACGACTAATTTTCGCACAACATTTCCTTATCCCAGTCCCGCTTTATATGCTACTAGCTGGCTTACCCGGCTCCGCCCGGCCCTGTCAAAACGCTATGATAAAGCTCCTTTCCTATCCCAGTACAACCTTTCCCTTGTCCACTTCTACATGCCATTTCCCTATTCCCTGTTTTAATTAATCCGTATGCTCGATTACTCCCCCCTCCCACCCGTGCTAGTCCTCAGCCCCGTAGCAAAAATTTTGCAAAAAATTGATGAAATCGATAAAACTAATGGACAATTTCAAAACTAATATTGTATTCGGAATCATCATGCTCGATTACGCCTCTGTGCCACTTCTCAGCCCCAGCTCGAACTTTGCAAAAAATCGATAAAATCGATAAAAACGGATATTTTGTAAACTGATATTGTATTCGTAATCAGCATGCTCATTTACCTCCCTGTGCCAACTCCGGAGCTCGAACTTTGCAAAAAATTGATAAAGGTAATCGATAATTCCATAAGTTAATATTGTATTCGTAATCAGCATGCTCGATTACTCCCTCTCCCCCCCCCCCACACCTATGCCAACTCCCAATCCCGTAGGTCGAACCTTGCAAAAATTCAATCGATAAAATCGATAATTAATAACGAAAAGTAGCTACGACACCCGCCTCGCCCCGAATTGTATGTGTGCAAAGTTTGGTCCGATTTGGTTCAGAAATAGGTTTTTTTTATTTGGAGCATACTTACAGAGAGACAGAGATATGCAAACCGATCGCGGTCCCGGTATTCCGTTTGCGCGGCTTAACAAAAACCTCTTGGTAAAGTTGCGTGGCGTCAGCCACGCATGCCAGAATATTTCCTGGGATGCTGCCCAAAATTTTTGCGGCCCCATTGAATTGCCCCCGAAACTTTTATACAAGGTTTTGAATTCTTTTGAAATTCCTAAAAAAAATTATTCTAATCCTTTACATGATGAACAATTCATTTACGCGATGTCAAAAAGCATACCAAAATTTTTCTTTCGGAGTGCGTGGCTAACGCTGCGCACCTTCATTCGAAAAAATTTTTTGTCACGCCTTCCCGGTCTGAAATCCTGGACCCGCCATTGGTGCACACATAAGACAGACCAAGAGACACACAGAGAGCAGACGTTTAGCTTTACATATAAGATCAGTGTACTCACTTGCCCCCTACGATTCCAGGCACTGTAGCTCAAAGTCTGCTGGAATTCGATGAATTTGATGAAAGGAATGGTTATGCTTACAAACGGTCATTATGTTTGTAATCAGCGTTCACTTACCCTTCTCCCCTTTATGCTGCCGACTCCCAGCCTCATAGTTCAGAGTTTGCAAAAAATTGGTAATTGATGATAATTTTAAAAACTGGTATTTTTCTGTAATCAGCATGCTCACTTACTCCCACCTCTATGCTGACTCTTGCCCTCTTAGTTGAAAGTTTAGGAATCGCTAAAATTGATAAAGGTAAACAATAATTCGGTAACGGGCGCTCAGATAATCGCCGGGGCAGGCGACCATGCGAATGATGATGTGCGGGCGGGCACCGGAAAAATATTCTGATTTCTTGCGTTCCGCTTGCAGATATTTGAGAAAATTTTGGCGAAATTTTAGACGAATGCTTGGTAGTATCGCGGTTTTTCTATAGGTTGGTTGCGGCGCGGACTTTCCGCGAGAATATGCAAAATTATTGAGGGCCGCGCGGTCCTTTGTGGAGGACCGCACAGCCCGTACTCAGATAGTCGCCGGGGGCAGGAGGACATGCAAATTTTAAAGGCAGTAGATCGGCAAAAACCAACAACTCGGGATTTTAACGCGGTAGGTTCCTCATGGCCCAACAATGAAAACAGTGCAATCCCGATTGCACAGCATGCTTTCCCTGCCGAGAAAATCGCTCTCGAACTTACACGCGCAGGCCAATCTTACACGCATCTGGACGAGTTGGCAATTTCCTTCTCACCATTGGAAGCTGCCCGCCGCAACGCTATAACCATTGGGTCCTGCCACGATTTAGCGTCATCGGCCTTGCTCCACTCGTCCAATATCAAAGGGAAGGGCATTAGAAAACGCTCATTTTCGCCGTTTTCAAGCTTTCACAAGTGGATTTCCGGGATCAGCGTATTGAAAAACCCCAGGTAAGGGAAAATTTGACTAGGTTGAGATTTGCCGAGCCACTGCCTTTAAGCAAGCGGGCACCGGAAAAATAGTTCGCTGATTTCTTGTGGCCCGCATGCAGAAATTCGAAAGAATGTTGACCAATTTTCAGACGAATGCTCGGAGAGCTATCGCTGTTTTTTTATAGATTAGTTGCGGTCCATTAGCCGCATTCTCATTACCCGAAACTGCTTGAAAAGAGTCCGAGCGAAACTGCTTGAAAAGAGTCCTGCTAGCGGGGCAGAACACAGATTTTTCTGCGGGGCTCGTCAAATAATCTCTTTCAACGAGCCTGCTGAAAGTTTGGCCAGCGCTCGTTGAAAGAGATTATTTGACGAGCCCCGCAGAAAACTCTGTGTTCTGCCCCGCTAGCAGGACATTTGACAGTAAAGGAGGTGCCGCCCGCTGAAGGTTTTGCCACCCCCCAAAATTTGGTGACTGCTTGCAGAAAAGTGCGAGCTTGCGGAGCGCTTGCCCCCGGCGATTATCTGAGCGGATCCGCAGGTTGAGAACAAAAGTTTATTAAAATGGCAAATCGGAGAATCTGGTAACAATTCAACAAATGAGAACAATTACAAGAGAATAGAAGGCTGCAAAGGATGGAAAAAAAAGATCAGATTACAATTGAACAATTAACAACCTGAGACCGGCAGCCTGAGATATGGTGCAACGTATGTCTCGCGACTACGTTCTACGGTCTTAGAAAAATCTAAATTACGTAACTAATCTAATGTTACATAAACCTGACCTAAGTGAACAAGGTTCTAGCGTTAGCTACAATTTCAGAAGTTTCATTTTGTTCGTATTCGTAATTGACGTGCTCATTTATCCCCTTTCCGAACTCTCTATGCCATAGCTCGAATTTTGCAACAAAACGGTAGATTCCATGGAGTTAGTATAATTTCTAAAATACACATTGTACCAAATCAGCATGATCACATACCTCTGTGCAAACTTCCAGCTCCATAGCTTGATTAGCAAAAATCATAAAATCAATTGATAGCTACTTTTCGTTACCGATATCGATCGATAACGAAAAGTAGCTTACGCCTGCCCCACCCGAAGTGTATGCGTGCAAAGTTTGATCCGGGTCGGTTCAGAAATGAATTTTTTATTCGGAACATATACAGACATACATATACAATACCACTTTCAGAATGTGCAAAATTTTCGGGAACTCCGCGAAAGTCCGCGACATTACCGGAATTCCGCTTTGGTGTTAACCAATATTGGATGCCACTACGTTGAAGGAATTGTTTATTCGGGAAACAATTCCAGTGGAATATAGATTTGGCGAGACGAGTCCAGAAGTGAGCATCCAGGTCTATTTATGCCACTATTTTGGGCGTGGCAACCTAGATGCTTCCTTCTGGCAAACAATAGTATCGTAAAGGTATCACTCGAAAATTATTGGTGCTTACATGAAAGTAATAGCCGCCAAGTGTGCTATGAAGCAGCAATGGGGGGTGACCTTGGCGGCTTAAGTGTTTCACGCTAGGATGGTTTGTCAACGACAAGAATAATATACAATATAAATTAATGGTCGATAATTATTCTATTATTATCAACATCCGCGAAATTTCGGAAATTTCGCAAAATTCCAGGAATTTCGCGAAATCAATGCGAATCACG